CGTGGCGGTCGTCATGGCGGTTCCGTGGGCGCCGGCGCGGCTCGGAAGTCGCGCGTGCCGAGCGCGGGGGCTGCCGCGGCACAGCGGCGGAAGCTGGCTCTGCAGGCGAAAGGCTCGCGGCCGCTGCTCGCCGGCTTGACGCCGCTGGGGGCCTTGGCCATTCGCTCGAACACGGAGCGGAGCCACCTCCAGATGCTGGGCAACTTTGCGCAGTGGTGCCGCCGGCACCGCCAGGACTGGAAGACGCACGAGGAGCTCGACGTGGTGCTGTCCAACTACTTCTCGGACCACTTCTTGATGGGGGCGGCGTGCGACATCGGAAGCCAGGCGCTGGCCGCCATTGCGCACGTCACCCCGTCCCTCTCGAAGCAGACGGTGTCGGTGTTCCCCCGGGCCTCGAGGGCCCTGGCAGCGTGGAGGCGTCGTGCGCCAGGCAAGACCCGCCTGCGCGCCCCTGCCCCGCTCCGCGGTGTACGCGATCGCGGGCTGGCTCATCAGCCGCGGGCAGCTGGGGATGGCCTGCTGGGCGACGCTGGCGTTCGCAGCCAACCTGGGGCCGGCCGAGACGCAGAGCCTGACTCGCGAGAGCCTGGTGCCGCCGGCGCCCGCGCGAGCTACACCTGCTGGGCTCTGCTGATGCACCCGCTGGAGCGCGGGGTGGCGGGGAAGACCGGCCACTGCGACGACAGCGCGAAGATCGACCAGGCTCCGCTGTGGCCGATCCTGGCGACGCTGCGCCCCGCGACTCCGCCAGGCGCCAGTCTGTGGGGCTTCTCGCTCGACCTCGCCCTGCAGTTCGGCGCGGCCTGCCAGGCGCCGAAGCTCTCGTCGCTGAAGCCCCACCTCTACAGCCTCCGCCATGGGGGGGCCTCGGACGACCTCCTGGCGGGCCGCCGCAACCCGGCCGAGGTGCAGCGCCGAGGGCGGTGGGCGGTGGCGTCGTCGATGCGGCGCTACGGCAAGGGGGGGTCGCTGCTGGGCGAGATGGCGCGGGTCAACTCGGATGTGTTCGCATTCGGGGCTCTCGTCGAGTCGAACTTCGGCGCCCTCCCCGAGTGCGGTTTCAGCGGGATGAACCTGTGCGGCCAGGTGCCTGCAGCGGTGATGCCGGCGCTCGGCCCGGCGCCCTCGGCGACGAGGCGACGGGGCCAGAAGCGGCGGGCGTCCCGCCGCTGATCGGCGGCGACGCGGGGTTTGGGAGAATTGCCAACCCCCGCGCGCGGGGGTTGGGAGAATTGCCGACTCCCGCCTCTGCCGGCGCTGCCCGCGGCCCGCCCTCCGGGCTAGCCGCGGAGATCGGCCTGGCCGAGGGCGGCCAGTGCAGCCGGCACCTGAAGCGGCGCTTGCGGCAGGCCCTCAGCTCGCAGCGAATGCGCCGGGTCGTGCTGGAGCTCTTCGCCAGATCTGCTCACCTGACCGAGGCGCTCAAGAGGCGCGGGGCCCCGGCGCTGGCCCTGGACCTCAGCTGGGGGCCAGTCGAGGGCCGCTTGGGCCGCGAGTTCCGCTCTGTCCTGAAGGGGTGGCTGGCGGGCCGAGTCGCTGGCGCCCTGTGGCGCCGCGTGGGCGCAGGCCTTGAGGCAGCCGCTGCGGACCCGAGCGCGGCCGATGGGGCGGGCAGACCTTCTGCCCCACGAGGCCGCCAAGGTCCGCATCGGCAACAGAACGTTCCACTTATCTTGTAATGTTATCGAGCTGTGCCTGGAACAGCGCATCCCTGTGTTCATTGGGAACCCCGCCGGCTCGCTGATGTGGAAGGCGCGTCGGCTCCAGCGGCTGCTCCAGCATTCGTCCTGCCAGCTGTGTACCTTCGACTGCTGCCAGGGCGGCGCCCCATGGCGCAAGCGGACAACTGTGGCTGCCTGGGGTGCCGTCGAGCTCTCTCGGCTGCAGCGGAGGTGCTCCGGTCGACGCGGGATCTGCTCGCGGTCTCGCGTGATCCTCACCGGCCACACCGACGGAGTGCACCTCGCTGCGCAGGCTGCTGCCTATCCGCCCTCCTTCTGTCGTGAGATGGCCAAGCTCATTGAACACTTTATGCATATCCAGTCCCATAAACATCTGGTGGGCGCTGTCATGAGATAATCTCCTGCATCGACTTTTCATTTTTCCTGACGGCCTGTCGGCCAGTTTCTCTCCGTCGGGATTTGGGAGTCATGTGGTCCGATCGCTGCCTCTGCCGTTTCGCTCGTGCGTCGATGCCCGCCCGAAATAGGCTCCGGGCGTCTGCCTGGCTCCGACCCACACAGATAGGCCCTGCTTGAAAAGAAGTCGCCGAGGGGTGCCCTTTGCTCTGTCTGGCTGCCGCCACTCCGACGCCCCCGCGCCTCCCCTAGAGCCGGGCCGTTCAAGAGCTGGCCCTCGGGAGTGGAGGCGGGCTGCGTGGTTTTAACAACAGTTTGCGTAGGCGAAGCGCGAGAGGGGCCGCACTGACTCGTCAGCACATGCCACTGGCATTGTGGCTCAAAGTGCTCCCACCCGCGTGCCACCCTGTCAAAGAGACTTTTCCTTGCCTGTTGAGGCCCCCTATGCGGGGAGTCATGTGGTCCGATCGCTGCCTCTGCCGTTTCGCTCGTGCGTCGATGCCCGGCCCAAATGGGCTCCGGGCGTCTGCCTGGCTCCGATCCACACAGATAGGCCCTGCTTGAAAAGAAGTCGCCGAGGGGTGCCCTTTGCTCTGTCTGGCTGCCGCCACTCCGACGCCCCCGCGCCTCCCTTAGAGCCGGGCCGTTCAAGAGCTGGCCATTGGGAGTGGAGGCGGGGTATATAATTATATACATATACATCAGCATCAGCTGCATCAGCAGCAGCAACATCATCAGCAGCAGTATCAGCATCATCATCAGCAACATTATTATTTTCAGCATCATGATCATCATCAGTTTCATCATTACTATCACCGTCATCATCATCATCA